GTTATCTACTATAAGCTGAGATCATTGTCAGCTAAAACTCTTTAGCAGCCTTTTTGTTGAAAGGCACAATCATGCCCATCCTTTGTATCTGGGACTTGAAAATTAGCAGGGACTGGGGGTTTTTTGCAGGGGAAAAAATTTTTGCTGTTCCCATTAAAACCCACCCAAGTTACAGTTCTTAGAAAAACTGTGGTTAGCCTGTGACAAGCAGAAATTTTGAGTCTTGGAGCTAAATTCCTTGAAGATTCTGTTTGCATTAAGCATGCCAATGTGTGGAGCGAAGCAGGACTTTCTGTGCAGCTGCAACTGCATGCTCCTGTAGGAGACTGGGCTTTGGCATGTCAAGTGGGAGCAAGAACCTTTTATCTTCCGTGCTCTTATTGTTACCGTTATTGTGTCCAAGCAGTGTTAAAGAAGCAGCCTAATTCTCACCTCAGTGACTAGAGATCAGGGCTGAATGAATGAGATGGGGGAGAGATGAAAGCAAGAGCCAGGAAGAGGGGAAACTGAGACTGACTGGGCAAAGAGACTAGGGTCAGGAGCCAGGCACTTGATGGTGTGCTAGAAATGTCTGGAAAAATGTGACAGGGGCTGGGAGTGAGAAGGGACAAGGATAGGAAGTCAAGAGGGCTTTCTAGACATACTGGGACTGGGATTAGATGACTGATTAATGGAGACTGGAGTAGTTGAGGCCAATAGGATGGGCATGGTACCAGAGTGGGAAAGAGGCAAGACTGAGATTGGGACAGTGTAGGGCAAATAAATGCACAAGCAGCCTTAATTCTAGTGTTTCCTAACTTTTGAGAGCTTGACTTTGCCCCACCGGTACATGTGTGAACAGTGAAACTTTTAAAACTATTTTAACCTATGGATTTTGGTTTTGGTTTTTTTGGGGGGGAGGGTGGAAGAGAGAAACATAAAAAAGAACTTTTTCTCTTTCTTTTTTATGTACAGACAACTCTGTGTTTGTTAGAAAAGGCAAGTTTGAAGAATTGTTCTTTGAACCGAAGTTGGGGAACTTTGTGTTTTTTCTTAGTTCCTGGGTGAATTCACTGTACAGTCCAAGACCAGTTCCTGAGAACAGTTAATCTCTAGACCTGATGGCATTTACCCACAAGGATGGAAGAATTACTCCTTCATCTTGGATTCCTAGATGATTTTATTTTAGCTACTATGTACCCTGCAGTTTTGACTCTTCCTTTCTGTTTGGATCATCATATGATAATTCTGGCCAAATTGAAATGGAGATAGTGGAGCCCAAACATTAGGAATGGGCAACAGTCAAGCCTTTGTGGAGGAGCTGGTCAGCAATTTTGACAAAAAGGCTTTTGCCAGAAAATCAAAACTTTTCACAGAAGCATATTTATCAGGCACTCCTGTGGGAGTTTGAGCTTCAGATCTGCCCAATTCAGAGCAGGGTTTTCAACCCATGCTTCCTAACTGCTAGGGTAAAGTCCTGCCCCTTGGACCGCTGATTAGTCTGTTGTGGCTTTCTGTCTGTCTCTGTGTTATGGTGCGAAACCAGATTTCAGTTGTTTTCATGGTCAGGAGTCTTGTTTTGCAGCCAGGAACCCCACCTTGGGAAGCGTGTGAATATCCCTTTCCACTCATTTCTTTCTTCATTTCTCCCCTATGATTGAAGAGTGAATATATTGCATTATTAGCAATGAGAGTTCTAATTACATCTGTGCCAATGGAAGCTAAGATTCCGTTATTCGTCTGCTTTAAATTCATATCTGGTATGTTTGGATATCTCACATGATATTTGTCTGGAATTTAAGTTTTGGCTTACTAAAAAGTGCTTTATTTCCATATGGTAGTGCCTGGGTATCAGTAAAGATACCTACATCACCAGTTGGCCTTTTTGTTGTTTATTTTTCAGTTGCCTTTTTGAAAACTTCAGAATGGAATTTGCTATGTGTAAAGAGATGTGGCTGTGCATAAACTGTGACTTGATTAAGTCATTAGGATGCAGTTGAACAGCTAGCAAAAGGTTGCACAGACAACAGTTTGACAGGCTAGCTTCTATTTTTGTGTTGATAACAAATGGATCTTAATGAAGAGGTTTCTGTGCTACAAAAATAGTTGATGTCACATTTTTTCTGTATTTTGAAATAAAATACAAGGCCAGTCAATAAGAAAATGGAATCATTTTTGTGATTGAATCTTTTAAATGAAATCTTTGAAATATAATAGCTTCTACAGTACTAGAACTGGTCTAGCTAGTAAATATCATCTAGAGAGAAATACTTAACTGTGTTGGTCTGAAGTTGAAGATAAGGCAGGGTGGCACTTCAGAAACTAGCAGGGTACCACCATGTTTGACTTCTGACAAACATGGCTAACTACCTTTCTCTACTCCTGAATGCTTAACCAAATAGGATCTATAGATTATTGTTACTTAAATTTTATTAATCTCTGTCTTTTTCTTCCCATGACTTGCTGTGGTTCTAGACAAAACCTGGTGTCATTCGTCCAGCACCAGTGAAAACAAAAATCTTGTTAAAAAAAGAGGAACCATATCAACCGAATCCTTTCAAAAAATATCTTGAAGAAAGCAGAGACCCAGATATTGAACAGGTAAGTTTTCTAATTAAACATCACTCTCAAGGGGCTTTGGTGGTTGTCATTCCCATGTAAGCTGAGTAATTGAATCTTGATCTATTATTTTGGACAAATTCTTTTATTTTCAGAAAAGAAATAGTAAAGAATTGGGTGAAATCCAATATAGGATCTAGGCACCTAACTCCCAGTGTGAACCCAAAGCCAGAGCTGGGTAGCAAGGTTGCTCATACAGTGGAATCCAGAACCTACCATTCTTTCTGCGAGAGTTCATGCCAGGCAGACTCTTCTGGGCATGCATTCTGCCCCCGAGCTCTGGCTAGACAAGGGACAGGTGGGGCTAGCCTGTTTTCTGGAGCAGAGAGCCCAACCCAGGGCTGCAAAGCATCTGGGATGCTGGGGAACTCTGTTTTAACTTAAACCAGGAAGGGGTGTGGGACAGGGGTGTGGGACAGACATTGCATAAACAAACCAGTTTGACGCAAATCAGTTAAGTCTGATACTACATTCAACCAGGTTTATCTTAAACCAGCCATTTTGAGACTGGTTTATATGCACTGAATTTATGTTCTGTTACAGGTTTAAACCAGTTTCTGATCACTTAAACAGGTTTATGTGTAACATCTGTCCCTAGCCCAGGAGCCTAAGGAACTGTAGAAGCAAACATGTAGTTTCCTCATGAGTTCACATACTGCCATGTTTGATGCCCAATGAGCAGACATTTTAGATCTTAACACAATCCTGCCTAAATCTTGATTTGTGCACATTAGGGTTTTATTGGATCTAGCTCACTGGCACCATTTGCATTTCCCTCTTTTTTTTTTTTACTTAAATAGTTTACTATTAAAACTGAACCAATTTAGATGATGTATTATTTTTGTCTGATTTGGCATTTGGATAAGGAAGTACAGACTTGTATTACATAAAACTGTGATCATAGTTATTCTGAAATATCTGTATATCATCCTTTTTTAATCATATTAGGACTGTGTGTTTTTGACCATCAACAGTAGAGATAGCCAGTGCAGTACTGTATCTTGTTGCAATGTATAATATAAAAAAATTATATACGGTGCAGTATGGGCAGTTACTGTCCTTCCAAAAGGAAGTACTAAAGCCAAGTGAAGTAATAACATTGCCATAGGGCAATGTATAGATGAATCCTTATAGCACATCACATACAATATTATAGAACAATAATTGACATTAGGGTGGTTATATCTGGGGATTAGGTGCCAAGTCCTCTCTTCTAAAGAGGCACTAAAATCTAGCGCTACACAGACAGGATTTGGAGCCCATTGATATTACAAATACATTTAGTGTTCATTTACACCAAGGCATCTTTATTGGGAAGGTCAATGGAATTAGCCTAATGGGGAGGAATGAAAGAATTAAAATAAAAATCACATACGTTGAGTTACTCTGAGACTGTTTATCCACAACTAACAAATGCCTCAGAAAGAATACTTAATCATTATGAAGTGGTCTTAAGGATATTACTCTAAGTGATATGTTTGATAATGGAAGCAAAAATTGCTTTTAAATCATCATAATAAAAATGTTATAATCACTTCATCATACATCATCATGCACCTTTTGACCTCCTACAGCATCATCTTTTCTAAACCCTTGGGGAGGTTGGGGTTGACATTATGCACTGAATGAGAAATATTGTTCAAGAAAAATCCAATGAGGTCATGATGAACAGGTGTAATTTAAACGTAAATTAATCAGTTTGCTGAAGGCAAGCTCATCCTTGATTTAAAGCAGCCCAACCTAGTGTCTGTCTAACCTCCCCTTGAAAATTTCCAGTGATGGACATTCCCTGGGTAGCCTGTTCCAATTCCTGACCACCCTCAGAGTCAGAAAGTTCTTTCTAATACCCAACATAAATTTCCTCTGCTGCAACTTTTTCCTAGTCTTGTAGTCAATCTATAATTGCCCTTCAGGTATTTGAAAACTGTTATCAGAACACCTTCAGTTTTCTATTGTCCAGATTAAATAAACCTAATTCTTTCAGGCTTTCCTTGTAAATTATGTTTTCCAGGCACCAAACCTTTTTTTTTTTTTTCTTTTGCTCGTTGCCAGACTCTTTCCAATCTGTTCACACCTTTCTTGAAATGTGGCCCCAAAACTAGACACAGTTCTTTAGGCGAGATCTCACCAGTGCTGAACAGAGTAAAAGAATCACTTCTCCTGATATGCAAGACAGTCCTGTTAATACAATCCAGTAGACTGGGTTGTCTTTTGTTTGCAACAAGAGCATGCTGTTAGAGTCTAATATTCAGCTTATGGTCTATTATAACCTTTTGGTCCTTCTCTGCAGTACTGCTACCTTGCTAGTTATTTTTCAGTCTCTATTTGTGCATGCAGTTATTCCATCCCAAGCGCAGGACTTCACATTTGTGTTTGTTGAATTTCATCTGATTGATTGTGGATGATTTCTCTAGTTTATCCATGTTATTCTGGATCCTAGTCCTTCCCTCCAGAGTGTCTGCAATTCCATGCAATTTGGTGTCATCTACATATTATTTAAGCATGCACTTAATCCCAAGTCATTAATATTAAATAATGCCAACCCCAGAACAAACCCCTGGGGAACCCTGCTTGATACCTTCTCCCAACTAGTCATTGAGCTATTAATGACTACTTGCTGAACATGATTGTCCATCCAGTTATACAACCACCTTACAGTATTTTCATCTAGTCTGCATAATTGTCCATAATGTATTAATTTGCTGTGGGAGATGGTGTCAAAAGCCTTGTTAAAGTCAAGGTATAAAACATCCACTACTGTCTCCTCCCCCCACTTCCTGTAGACAGAGCCTGTCACTTTATCATAGAAGGAAGTCAGACACAACTTGCTCTTGGTGAATCAGTGCTGGCTATTCCTGATCATTTTATTTTCCTCTAGTGCTTCATAAAAAATTCCTTGAGGACCTGCTCCATGATCTTTTCTGGGATTCAAGTCAGAAGGATTAGGCACTATTTTTGCCATTTTCCAATCATCAAGAAAGGTGCCCAACCTCCATGAATTTTTAAAAAGTATGGCTCATGGCTCTAAAGTTTCCTCAGGCAATTCCTTCAGCATAGTAGGGTGTATTCCCTCTGGCCCCGCCAACTTGAAAGCATCCACCTTCTCTAAGTAATCTCTAATCTATTCTTCCATGACTCTAGGCTATCTTATCTCCTTCCCTATCTTTGCTGCCAACTCCACTCATCTGATAGCTGACCCTACCCATGAATTTCATCTTGTGTGGCACAGTATTCTTGATAAAGTAAAGAAATTCTGTATCTTAAAACAAAGACAGGCTGGATTTTGTTTTTGTCTCTTGCATTTTTCTGACATTGAAGATTGGCCATGTTGACTAAATTAATTTATGGCATTTTAGTAAATTGTATACTTATATAAATTCTATTTGTGATGATGCTGTATTTTGTTGTGTACATACCTCCATCTGTTGATAGGCTTGTTATAAGTACAAAAAAAAGGAAGTGTCACACTTACCAATTTTTATTTTTGTTCCAAAACTATAAAATGATTTCCTAGGTTTAAATGATATAACTATAATGTTCAGAAGCATCCAGTGTAGCCTACTATTGACAGTAGGAATTGTCAGACCACTGCTAAGCATACATATAGAATATACTTGTCTTGAAAGTCAAGGATTTCTATGATGATTGAGTGCATCTGGTTTCAAAGATAAGATGGCACAGTATCATTAATAGATCTCCAACTGACATAGGATCATAGAAAAATAGGGATGGAAGGGAGCTCATGAGGTCATCTAGGCCAGGCCTTTGTCAAGACATATTACTTGGGAAATATTTTGAGTTATTTATCCCCACCTCCCATGACTTTTAGTGAGAGATTTAGTATTTTTTCATCCTACATAAGAACAAAAAACAAATTATATCTGTATGCAATCTTTTGCAGATCTCTAACTGATATCTGTTTAGAGTAGTATTACTGAAATTTTGGGAAAGTAATAAAACAGTGCAAAAATCTGACTGTTATAACAAGAGCCAGAATAAGACTCTGCTAAAGAACAAATATTTTTTTCATTTAATAAATAGGCTTTTGACTGACAAAAGGAAAAGTTTATTTCATAATAAATATATTTTATTTCTTCATGTAAAAAGAGTTTTTGGTATATTTTAAAATGATTCAAATAAATATGTGTCATGAATTGTGAAATATAAATTTGTTGTAAAAGGCTTATAATTTTTTCAGTGATATTTATCTATAAAGTCTTGCTCTAGTGAGAAACACCATGCATTAATTAGGTTCTGCTCAAATAGATTAATGAGTTTATCAGAAAGAAACGGATTTTATTTTTATAGAGAAAGGAAAAGAAGACCAGGGATGATGGAGAATAGTGACTAAGTGCCACAGCAGAAGCTGGTGTAAATTGGCATAATTCCATGGAAATCATAGGATAACTTATTAATCGGAAGAGTAATTCTACAAAGTTTTCAGACACATATCTATGGGGATATTCTTTGTAGATGTTTTTGGGAATATCCAAGTTTAGCCAAATACGTAACAATATTACTACTATGACTCCATTTACCATAATGGACTAAATCCCAAACACTTAATCTTTAAAATACTTGAATTTTTAAAAAAATTCAATACTTAAATATATTTAGTGGATAATTCTTTGATCTAAAGACCTTATCTAAGTAGACCACTTGACCAACTCATCTTTTTTCTTCCCAATGGCTACTACTATAATATTGTTGAAAGTCAAAAGGGGAATACAAAATCTAAATGCTTCCTTCACATTTTTTATGGATGACCCTCCTCTCAGTGCTCCTATCAATCAAGCCTTTGATTTCTTTTTTCAGTCAACTTCTTTTTAGATAGCCAGTGATGATATTTCTTTGCTTAGACTCTCTGACTCAAGTTTCCTTGCTTATGTGAGATGGAATCCTGCAAGATTATGCATGATATAATTACAAATTTTTACTGCCTTTGTCCTTCCTCCTTTATCATAGAAATCAGAGTTTTAGAAGTAGCTAATCACTTTTTAAGTAGCACCATCATTCAATTTGTTTTCCTAGTTTTAGTATTCTTCTCCTCTTACAAACTTACCATCTCTCCAGAGTCATGCTGCCATCATTCTCCTACACCTAGATGACATTCATTTTGAAACCTTTGTTATGAACACAGGGGAAATTTGTCCCAGGGGAAATTTATCCTTGGTTAAAGTGCAGTTGTTCAGATGTCCATGTCCTTTGTCCTGGGTTAAATCCTAAAAAGATTCATGGAATTATATGTACTAATATTTTGTCCCAGGGCATTGCAAAGTATGTCTGAACAGTTATCCTGGGATTGCATAACTGAATCAGTGGCAGAAAAGCAGTGGTGCATTCAGCCTTCACTAAACCACAATTAGAAGGTTGATATGTGTACATGCCAATCCCACAATTTTTCGTCTTATCTTTCCTCTTTCATTCTAATAGGCTAACCTTTGTCTACCCTAGGAGGGTTTACCAATACAGCTCTGCCAGTGCATTTTTCTAATGTAAGCAAGGCCTGAGAAGAGAGTGAAAGTTTCTATACAAGGCTTTCCCCTGCCCCCCACTAACAAAGTTCTCTTTTCTCTAGGACACTGCTCCCTGCCACCTTCTGTATCTGACTAAACCGATCCCTCCAACTCAGTCCCCATTACATCCACAGTCTATCTCCCATGCTGACTCTCTAATCCCTGGACCCTTCAGTCATTTGTCTTGCATCCTATGTGAAGTTCCTGAGAATTCTTATAGTCCTTACAGTCACAACAGTTTGTATAATAAGGTGAGCATTCTCTGTTTTCATGTGTAATACTGATATGATTAATACAACTTTTTTAATGTTAAAAATAAACTTAAAAGTAGATGGAATTCAATAGTGGCTTTTTAAGTCACTTTCCTAGTGGGATCCCTGAGAGATATGTGCCTCAGGTACAATACCACCTGGAGTTAGTAGACATAATATCTGCATCATTACCTTTCCATACACTAGAACTTGTATTGTCCACTCCACCAAAGGTTGTTTTTGCAAATGTGTGTAATGAACAGGATAATGGTCTTCTTCTTTCTCCATCATTTCTGAGGTTTCTAGTTCTCTGTAGGTGCAAGAACCTCACAGTTCTTGCATTCATGGAGTGCGGCCCAAATCCTCTAAAC